CCCCCCCCCCCCCCCCCCAGATCCCCACCCCCCAGATCCCCCTCTGCACCCCCGCCCAGAGGTAGCTGGGTGCAGGATCCCCTCCACCACCTGGCTTGGCTCCAGGCAGCCCGGCCTCCAGCACCGCGCTGGGTTTGTGTGGCTCCACATAATAGACGAGCAGCTCCACGTCCCGGTCCCACGGGGGGGCCTGGGCCAGCGACACCTGGGGGGCGACAGACACACAGTCACCTCCACACGATTCCTGGGGGGACAGGGTCCTGCTGGCTCTCGTGCCTGGCTCGGTGCCCCCTGCATGAAGCCGGGGTGAGGGGTTGACCCTGGGAACGCTGGCTGGGCCCCCCCGGGTTCAGTGGAGAGAAGAGAGGGAAAAACAACCCCAAAGGCCAATGTGGGAACTTGGCTTTTCCTGGTGAAAAATTGCAAACATTTGACATTTGGGGGGGGGGCCTAAATCTTTCCAATTTAGGGGTAAAATTTTCCTGGTCCCCCACACCTCCATTTCCTTCCACTGAGAAACAAGGAGAGGGGAAATCCCAGAAACTAAACACTAACAGAGCCCAGCGACTGCCAGGGATTTCATCCCCAAACTGGCAGATTTCAGCCTGTCCAGATTTTCCCCAGAGAAACTGGGAAATTCCCCAGATCCGTTGGTGTCGCTCGATCCCCCCGCCCCCCAATCACCCAAAGTCTGGCCCATGCTCCCCCTTTCAGGACCCACCCACCTGGGACCTGCCCCCCAGCCTCGCCCCAAATCCCCCCCAGCCCACAGCCCCGTTCCCTGGCACCCACCCCTGAGCCCAGAGCCCCCTCTCTCCCCCCAGCACCCTCCTCCCATTGGGGATGGCCGGGACCCAGGCGCCCGGGTGAGCCCTTACCTGGGCAGTGGTTCGGTTCCCGGCCGTATAGCTCAGGGGGGTGAGGGGGCAGTTGGAGAGCACGCGGTCGATGCCGTGGGGCGACTGCAGCGTGGCGCTCAGGCTCAGGGTGTAGGGCAGCTTCCCCTGGGGGACCCGCGGGACCCCCTGGGTGACGTCCTCCCCGTCCCACCCTGCAGAGAGAGACACAGGGGTGAGGGCCAGGGAGCTGGGAGAGAGCAGGGGGAGGATGGGGAGTATGAGATATTGGGGGGATATTGGGCTGGGATATCAGGGGATTTTGGGATGGCTGGGGTGGGTCACATACCCTGGGGTGGGGATTTCAGGCCTGGGGGACACTTACCGAGGGGCACACAGTAGTGGCCTATGGGGCGTTATGGGGGCTATTTGGTTCTTTCACTGTGGGGTACGTAACGGGGCTATGGAGGTTTCGGGGGATTATGGGCTGTGGAGTCACTCACCATGGGGTGTGTAGTCCGGGTTCTGGGGGCTATGGGGTACAGGGAGCTATGCGGGATCTATGGGGCCTATGGGTCTGGTCTCAACATGGGGCATGTGAAAGGGGTGCAGCATGGCTGGAGGCACACAGCTGGGGTATAGGGTGCAAGGGAGTATGGGGGGATCTGTGGGTCTCACCATGGGGTGCATAGCGGGGGCAGAGGTATCTGTGGGTCTCACCGTGGGGCTCATGGGGGGGCTGTGGGTCTCACCGTGACAGGGGTAGGGGATCTGTGGGTCTCACGGAGGGCAGGTGGGGGG